AACTTTTCCACTAAGCATTCTAGAAATACCTTTTCTTTCCAAAAACACTTTCCCCCTCCCCTACCACCTCTGGTAGCTGTTCAGATAATCATATAGGAGATGGAACATGTATCTATCCATACACCTAAACTAGTTTTACAATAATTATCTCAAGCCAGGGATTCTGGTAACTCTCAATCTGTGATGGGAAGGAGATTTTAGTAGACTGTTCAGTAAACTGGTGGAAAGACAATCCCCAAACAGAGAAATGTCGGTCCTTAGGTTACACAGGTTACTTAAGCTTGTATAAATAGCCCTGTCTTTGATAGATGTGCTTTCTTCATTTTCCTTCATTTATTTTCTCTCCGCTTACTAAATGACAAACTAGGAAGGGAAGAATTTAATAAGGGCAGTGGTCCAAGAGGTAATTTTTTGGAGGGGAGGAGTACCTATATCACCTCAGTCTGGGTGTGGCATTCAGGTCACCTCCTTTGTCAATTTAGATGATTCAACCCTTGTCCCAAGATTTATTACACACTTATGGTTCTATTCTTTCCTGCTGAGGTTCAGAATCAGGTCCTGAAATACAAAGCTGGATCTGCTGAGTTAAATTAAGAAAAAAGGTAGGTTGAAATTGTGGCACATCTTAATAAAATAGTTTGCTGAATTAGGATGAATACGAACTTAGCTTATATTTTGGCTTGTTCATAATAATAAAGCCCTCTCCCCCACTAAAACAGCAGTTAGGATGTATTCTAGCAGGAAGTTCCTGCAAAAATGTTATAGTGATCCATCTACTCTCTCAGGCAACCTTAGTTAGAACACATGTGTCAGGATTCCAGGGAACCTCCATTCTGATCAATAACTCCAAGACAAGCATAATCTCAAAAGTACTTTTATTAGAATAGCACCTGGCACATCTGTGGAATTTCGAAACTAAAAGTGTCCCAACCTACAAACCATCCCCTTTTTACTCATCATCACATCACATGAACCAATTGCAAAGTAAGTTCCATTTCTTCTTGTGCCACACTCTTTGACCTTGAACTAACAAAAGAATTCTATTTTGTCTACTAAGAGCTGCTCAATTAAAACCACCCCCCTCCCACTTTCTCAAGCTATGTGGCAGGGATGAATAAGGATTTCAAAGCTGACAACATGATTCAATAAAACCCAACAGGAAGAAAACTTACAGATTTTAATCTTTTTACTGGTAACCTCATTCAGTTACTTTGGACAGTCTCTAGACAGTCCTTTGCAAACAATTGTATCTGGCTCCATACCAGAGGTGGCCCATACCAGCAGGTTCTGACCAGTTCTGGAGAATGGTAGCGGAAATTTTGAGTAGTTCAGAGAAATATCAGCAAATATCAGCTCTGACTGGAGATTTTACAGTATCCTTCCCCTGCCACACCCACCAAGCCACTCCCACAGAACTGGCAGTAAAAAATAAATAAATCCCACCACAGCTCCATACTGCAAAATATGTGCTGTACTATTCAGCTACACCATGGGTGTCACACTCGCCACATCAATTGCTGTCACGTGACATTTTGCAATATTTTTCTTATTTACAAAGCTAGGTGGGCATGGCCAGCGCATGACGCATCCGTCCCATGGGCCACCAGTTTGACATCCCTGGGCTACATTAATTAAATCCATCCCCAACCATTAATTTTTGGGGGTCAGTCATAATGTCTCAATCTAGGGGTTCAGTACTCCCAACAAATCTGTTGTTACAGGAAAAATTGAAATTTAAAGGCCATGGTTCCTGGAATAAAAGCAGGGTATCTATTTGTTCAATAAAAATATAAATTATGCCATTAAACAAAGGTTTACTTTGAGAGATTTCAGAAAAAAACAATACATTTATGTATTGCTTTCTTAACAGGATTCTGCTTCTACACAAAATAGTGTAGTGATAGTTTGTTCAGCCTAGGATATTTGCACAGTTGAATGCGATATCTAGTTTGTTTTAATCTTTTTTAAAGAGAGAAGAAACCATTTGTCAAACTGCAGACAGAAAATATACCTCCAAATTTCCTAATATCAAAGCAACATTAAAAGCCAACAAAATTTAATTAGCATAATTTTATTTCTTATATCCTTTTAAACATTTTTTTCCAATTTCAACATTGCCTTTATGATCATGACCATTTTAGCAATAATGATTGAACTCCAGCATATTACATCAGTGTAAAACTGACATTTTCAAATCTTTTTTTCCTTTTAACATTTTTTTTAAACAAAGCAAAGTTTAGTTTAAAAGGGCAGGTTCAATAACGACAAAGAATTTTCTTCCTTCCCTGTGTAGCTAAAAACCATATTTTGTGTCAAGGTAAATCAGTCTGATAGTCAATCTGCAACTTTTACCAAAGCAATCCCACTTGCATGCTCCGAACCACAATTTCTCAACCTCAACAACTTTAAGAGATATGGACTTCAGCTCTTGGAAGCCTGGCTGCTGGCTGAGGAATTCTGGGAGTAGAAGTCCATACCTTTAAAGTTGCTAATGTGGGAAACATTGCTCCAAATGGATGCTACACCTGCTCCCCTCTCCCCCACAGTCATAAGCATAACTGAGAACATGAAGGCAAAGAGAACTGTAGTAAGACTTTATATACATAATCTGTATCACAATGCTACGTTTCTAAGGCATGCTGTCCTAAACTGGATGAAATTGGAAAGTGGCCCCAGTAATTCATTTTATTTTATTTTTTGTGCAGAGAAATGGAGAGATCATCCTGTTATTTCCTTCTCATGTCCTACTTGCTTGTGTCCAACCAAAATTGTCCTTTACGCCTTTTGGGAAGGTTAGGGTTACAGTCGCACACACATACAACCACACACACAAAATCACACATGCACGCGCAACAGAGCTGACTTATGTGGTTGGTGGGCGCGGAATCTCACAGCTTGGCATTAAGACCAATAGTGGACTGCAGCAGGAAGTGAATGAGAAAGTGCTTTAGAAGTTGTAGCTGATACCTCTCACAGGACAGCGGGGAAGGCGATTTATCTAGTAATGTAGGCTATCTAAGCCTTCTCTTGAGTAGAAAAATTCTTATCAAAGACAGTCTCTTGTACATCTGCCTACAATAGCAGTGAGTACCTAGGGGGACTCAGTGCTTTGGATGCTACAGTAAATGATGAGGATGAGCCTCCTCAAAACATCTCTGTCCTCAGCTATTCTATCTGGTTTCTAAGTGCTTGTTTGGATGGCAGCTGGTTCTCATAAGCAACAGTTCACACCTGAGATTATGCACACAATGAATTCAGCAGGACGTTGCCATACCTTGTTTGCTCACATTTCACAGGGAAATCCACATGACATTACCAGCCATCTGGTTTTTTTTCCCTCCCCGCAGTATTACTTTTGCCGCCTTCTTACTTTATAAAAAACAACATTTGTGAGAATAAAGGAGTAGCATAATAGCCACAGATGTAATGCTGATCGTGATATATAGTCCATCTTCTTTAGGGTATGATTTAGATGTAGGCACTGACATTAATTCTCGCAGTGGGTGTTAATTTAGAAACCCATCCCCCCCACCCAATCAATCTTAGTACTAAAGTGCTTCCCTGGCTATAGTTTATTTTTTTAAAAAAGAGAGAAACGACATAAATAGAAGAGTATTAAAACACGGTAACACTTCAACTTTGTTTTTTGCTTTTTTCAAAAAAAAAATCCCCGTCTTTCTGGCTGTTATTTTTTTTAACCAGTTCTGTCCTTCCTAATTAAATACTTCTAACTTTGCAGTCTGAAACAGGCAAACTCATTTCAATGAATAAGCAGACAGCACAAAATAAACAAGTTATTATTTTCTTTTTCTTTTTTCATAAAAAGGATCATCACTAAGGTTTCTCCCCACAGCTGAACTGGATCCTCCTACTCTTATGTGCTACACCGCCGGTGGCGTGGAAAACTCAAGCTGTTTTCCTAATGGTGAAGCTTTTGCCACCTCTGATATTCTCCAGTGATCCTAGTCCTTCTCAGTGTCCATAACATGCACACGCTACTAAACAGCGGTATTGGTGGACCATTTAATCTACCCCAGCTTTTAGGCAGCTTTTTTGTAATTGTTGTGTTTTGGGGAGGGTTTGCTTTTCGTATGGAGGATAAAGTGTCTATTTTACAGCATAAACTCGAGCAGCAGTTTCCTTCCACCAAGGGAAAGAAGGCCCATGGAAAAAAGCTGCCAGACTATAGGACCATGTACAATTGTTGCCTACAAGAAATATACATGTACTTCCTTGACAGAAGAAAATAATGAACTGAAAGAGCCTACGATTATAAAACCAGCCACGGTACACCATGACAAGTAGTTAAACTCCAAATGGGTTTCTGAAGACCACGAAAATCCAGGGACAAACAATGGTGGGCCACATCACTAGCTATCATTCAAGAAACCTGTGTCCTGTGGCTCTTTCCCCACTTTTAAGAAATGCTCCTTTTAAAAAAGATGTGAGAGTACAACAGCAACCAAAATAAAAAACATGTCATCCTCTCCTTCGGAAACAGATATCTATTTACAATTGGGGGTGGGGGGGGAGAGAGGAGGGAAAGATGCTAAATATGAAGCAGACTTGCTTTCTGAGCTTTTTACACCTTTTCTCCAATAACCTTTAAAAACAAAAAAAAGGTTCCCATTGCAGAAAAGCATTACAGATGGGCAATTCTATTTTTCTGCTTTCTCTTGTTTTGTTCGTCTCTTGTTAAAATTCTTCTATCAATGACCTAAAATATTTGGCGGGTGTTCAGTTTTTAATAATCTTGCCATCTCGATGTCATGATAAAGGATGGCAATTATTTAAAAAGCCAATTTGGGGATGAGGGGATTGAGAAAACAAATGAGAAACAGTAAACATAAAATAGCCCCACCAAGATGTTATTTAGCTAACAGAGGGAGAGAGGAAAGGAAACAGAAGAGCCATCATCCTGCTTCTCAAACCATGCTGAAAAGGCAAGTAATGTTGTTTCCTCTGTTGCATGCTGGGAAGGGCCTTTAAGCAATAGTGCCATATATTCTTTACTCTTTTCCCTCCTAACTGCAAGGGGAGAAGGGTTGCTTGATGGCATATGTACTTGGCTGTTAGCTGTAGGCAGCAATTCCCGGGGCTGGGGGGGAAAAAAATCAGAGTGGAATAGGCAGATGCACACAAGAGGCATTGAAAAAAGAAACAAGAGTGAGAAAGAGAACCGTGATGAACAATTGTAGGAAGGTGGTGCCACATGGCAGCTTTGCCACAATGCCAGCGAGAGCTTTAACCGGAGGCATTCAGGTACAGCTGGCTCTTAAGGATGTAATCAATGACTGGCTGACACAGATAATCCACCACGTGCCCATCGCCATGCTGAAGGGCCAGTCTGTGAGGGATAGGGAGAGAAAGAAGAAGGAAGAGAAAGCATTAATCAAATTACTTTAAAGCCAGACAGGTATATATAGTCCAGGCCAACAATCTTCTGGTTCTTCTTAGGCTAACCCTGTATAATTTGCTAGCTGGACCATTTCTAAGAGACCCATTGGAGAGCAGAGGCAAAAATGGTCCTAGAGCAATAAGCAATCTCTTGATGGCAAAGAGCTTCACTTAACGTTGTTGGGAGAAGGGAATTGAGGATTGCAAAGGAGAGATGATACCTGTGGGCAGATTTGGCACAGATTTGTCATCTGTGACAAATCTATTTCAGATCCTGTACAGTTTTCATCAGTTTCCCACCACACAGTGTATGGAAATCGGGTCACAGCTTCCAGTAATTATGGCCAGAAGATTCTTCAAGGCCTGCCAAAAAGGGGAATCAGACTGCATGTACATCTAGAGCTAAAAGTTACCCATCCTTATCCCAGTAGATAGGGATGCGGTGGCTCAGCTTATCGATCAAAAAAGTCGACGGTTCAAATCCCTAGCACCGCATAACGGAGTGAGCTCTCGTTACTTGCCCCAGCTTCTGCCAACCTAGCAGTTTGAAAGCATGTAAAAATGCAAGTAGAAAAATAGGGACCACTTTGATGGGAAGGTAACAGCATTCCATGCACCTTCCATGCACCGGTTATGCCGGCCACATGACATAGCGCTGGCTCTTTGGCTTTGTAACAGAGATGAACACCACCCCCTAGAGCCAGAAACAACTAGCACATATGTGTGAGGGGAACCTTTATCTTTACCTTATCACAGTAGATGATATCCCAAATAGAATTGCCTAACCCTTGTGGCATATCTCATAGGGGGAGGGGGGAGTCTTTTTTGCTTAATATACTTAAGAAATAATCTATGCAAAGAGCAATTAATGTAGCAAATGGAATCTAGCATGTAATTTTTCTCCAACCCACACCTCATGCCAACCGAAGACAGTAAGCCCAGGGAGAATTTATATTGCCTGCTCTTTATGCAATAAATGTAGGCAGACGTCTTAATGAAATATAAGAAAGTTAAAACTCATTGGAAGTTCTGTCTTTTGCCAGTCTATTTGACAAAGTTATAAAATTCTGGATGAACTCAGCTGCAGGTTCCACAATGGATTTATTTTTTTTCAACTCTGCAATGCCCTTAAAACAACCATCAGAACTCTAGCCTTATTTTGTATAACAAACTTCCTACTACATTTAGGATCTCCCCAACAGGCCAAAAAAGGTGAAGGACAGGGGGAAACAATAAACAGGCAGGATTTATGGGTTACCTCCAAATTTTTCTGCCTGCTCATGTGCCTGTATTTTATTCTGTACACACAGGATACAGGTGGCCACTTTAGGATCTGACGTAATAGAGGACCACAATTGGGATTAGACTTTCCATGGCTAAGCAAGGAAGTTGTTAAGTGAGTCGGGTCCGATTTTATGAACTTCTTTGCCACAGTGGATAAGCGAACCACTGCAGTTATTAAAGGAATCAGACAGGTGTTAAGCAAATCTGGCTTGCCCCACTGACTCTGCTTGTCAGAAGTCAGCTGGGAAGGTTGCAAACGGTGATCACAATTTTCACAAATATGTGCCAGCTGCCAAGCGTCCACATTTTGATCACATGACAGTAGGGATGCAGTGACGGTTGTTAAGCGCGAGGACTAGTTTTAAGTCATTTTTTTCAGTGCTGTTGTGACTTTTTTTTTACTGTCACTAAACAAATGGCTGTAAGTAAAAAAAAACTACCTATATTATCGAATACTCTCTGCCCTTGAAGAGATGGCTTCCCCTCCAGCCAAGCCAGTTTCTTAATAATTAACTTGCTGCTACTTTGTTCCGTCCCCAGTAAAGTTAACTTCCCCACTCATAGCCCATTTCCCCTCACTCACCTGCTTTTAGTGGAACTGACAATAGCCATGGGGTGATTCACATCATCCTTCACAACCAGGATATTGTTCTGTGGAGAAAACATTGCCAGGGGATCTAAGCGTGGATCTTTCCACATGCTCACTGAAGCAGGATATTGGCATTTAAGATTTGTAAACTCAATAGAAGGGCCTTTTCAGTTATGGCATCCTTAGCTTAGAATGCCACCCCCACACACCCATCCCATTGTTTCCGAGCCCTTCCTTTAAAAAAATTAGAGGAAAGTGAAGTTGTATTGAATCAGTATTTTGAGTGGAAGAATTGAACATTTTTACTGACAGATTATTTTTCACTGTAAATTGTTTTAAGCTACCCTGGTATTTATTGTACTCTTTATCATTTCAATGAGATTTTTTTTTTAATCAATGAATTGTAAATCTCCGAAAGTGTTGTATCTGGCAGAATAGAAAAGAAAAAGGAAAGGCTATTGCAAAGGAAAACTAATTGTATTCATTTTTTTTCCCTCTCTAAATAGCTCAGATTGAGATTTGGATACACAAACCAATAGTTAGGGGAATCCAAGTCTCAGTTTGATTCTAGGTTATTCCTACTTTCAGATATAGCCAAAGCCTTCAATTTTTCTGAAGCAAAGGCTTAAAATAATGTCACTTGCTCACTTTTTTTTATCAGAATCCTTGCATTTTAAAGAAGAGATTAATAACAAATTGTTGTAGGTGAAAATCCAAGTTAGAGAGACTAAAACACTTAATGGCTTTATCCTGAGCCTGCTTAGGACATGTTAGCCCTGCAAGGTAGTCCAGAAAAGAAGCACAATTATGAGTGCTAATTTTGTTGTGAGGTTTTGGAATCTTGCAAGACTGAAAGTCTTTCTTCCTTCCTCTCCTTTTACTCTTCAGAAAATTTAGCGAGGGTCCCTACTGAAATGTTTCTCATGCACCTTCCTTCTACTGTAGATGGAAATCTCTTTTATGTGATGGTTGCCCAGTCTGTCCGTTCTGTCTCCCAAGATCATTTCAACATACCATTACTGGACAAGGAGGCTACTCTTGACTCTTGGTAGGAGATGACCTGGCTGAGCCCAAGGGAGGAGTCAAGCATGTCATAAGTCAGGAATCCCTCCATGCCCATAAGAGATTTAAGTCCACTCCACTTTGAATGGCTCTCTTATTTTCCTTGCATTTTCCTTAATAGTCAGTTGGCCAGATTCTTGTAGAGAGCTTAAGCTTGCAATAAATCTTTTCACTCATTTGAATTGCTTGCATCTCCTGTTTTCCCTGGACCTGACACTATTTCCAGGCAAAGATCTTCTACTGTCCTGCCTACAACTTCCTCAAGAAACCTAGAAGACAGTATTCCAGTAGGGTTCCTGCCCCCTATGTAGACAAACCTGAAATGGGTAACTATATTGTAATGGTATGTGTGGATGATCCTGGGGTACTAAGAGAAGAGATGTGGCTAGGAAACAATCAGACGAGAGAGACAGGATACAGTGGTGGGATTCAAAAACATTTACTACCGGTTCTGTGGGCATGGCTTGGTGGGCGTGGCTTGGTGGGTGTTGGCAGGGGAAGATTATGGCAAAATCCCCATTCCCCACCCCCACCCCACTAACCTGCTTTCCAGCTCCGTTCTCCTGTGCAGGGCAACAAAAGAAGAGCCAGCCAATCAGCTAGGACTTGGGAGGCAGAGGATAGATGGGGGTGGGGCTAGTCAGAAGTGGTATTTGCTGGTTCTCCAAACTACTCAAAATTTCCACTACCAGTTCTCCAGAACTGGTCAGAACCTGCTGAATACCATCTCTGGACAAGAGCCCCCAGTGGATTAATGCTCAGAGGAAGAAATTTAGGAAGAAAGGACCTGCAATAATTGTTCAGGCGGTTAAGGCGGTGGCAGGAAGTTTGTACCTTCAGACTTGCAAGATCATCTTAATGTAGCTCTACAATAAAGTAGAATTAGCTCATCTAGTCATGCTTCCTGTCTGGTTTACCTGTGGGTGCTGACACATATGCAACCAGAGAGATTCAGGAAAGCAGGCTTGAGTGCCAGTCTAAAGTCCATTTATTACTGCAGTTTTAGAGCAACAAAAACAACAAAACTTACTTTATACTTGCGAAGTATAGAGGAGTGCTTCATGATTCTCTCGGTATCAGCACCATCTCGTGGCACAACAACAATGCCAAAGTCGCCCACTATCACCTCCATCTGTTTAAATTAGAATGGATATCTTTTATGAAAGCATATATCTACAGAAACTTTCTCCTAAATCTGAAGCAACTTTGGGGTTATTGTCTTCCAGGGAAGACGTATTCTATGCACTTGGTTATATTGCGATCCATCTTCTTGCTAATCTGTTTTTTTTTTTTTCCTCCTCTGTCTCTCGAAAGCTTCCACAGTTTTCAAAAACATAGCACACAGTTTTGGCTGAATCTCGTGAACTGTAGATACTTGCGGGAAAATCAATAAAAGAAGAAAAGAGTTGGAAGGAATCTTGGAGGTCTTCTAGTCCAACCCCTTGTTCGGGCAGGAAACCATTTCAGACAAGTGATTGTCCAATTTCTTAAAAATCTACAGTGTTGGAGCAGCCACAAATTCTGGAGATAAGTCCTTCCACTGATTAATTGTTCTAACTGTCAGGACATTTCTCCTTAGTTCTAGGTTAGATCTCTCCCTGATTCTATCCCTCTGTTAATGCAGTCTAGGACTGTGTTGGTATAAATATATTTGTATTTATGTTGAAGATAAGTGGGAAACAATGATTTTCTAATAGTTGATAAGAGAAATAGTTTGTTGGAGATTTGCTTCTATGAAGTTACAAGCGTTGATAGATGCAAGCAAACTGTATAAGAGGTAGTAGAAAAAATATCAATATTTAATTTTGCACATTATAACTGCAGCCAGAATAACCTACGCACAAAACTGGAAACTGACTTCCATTCCTTCAGAGGATAGGGTAATTAAAAAAATACATGAATGTGCTGAGATGGATAGCCTAACCAAATCGTTAAAAAATAAACAAGATAGTCACTATTATGAAATATGGAACATTTGGTATACATTGGACAGACCAATAGAAGAATAAGTACCCGCCTGGATGAACACAAAAATGCAGGAAAAAAGCTGGAACACACTTCCTCACTAGTCCAACACATGAAAGCCACAGGTCATAGCATCGACTTCAATGGTACCAAAACCCTAGCCACTATAGAAAACCCCAGCCACAGAATTATCAGAGAAGCCATAGAGATTGAAAAAAGACCTGAAAGCATGAATAGATGATTCCACCAGACTGTCAATTATTTGGAAGCCTGCACTCACAAACAAAAAAATATCCACACCACAAGCCAGGCAAACACCTGGGCACAAACAGATCCCCCCTGATACCTCCAGCTCAAGCACACCCCAACCAGGCAGCCAGATGAAACCTAGCTTCCTAATAAATGATAGCCATCCATTTACTTGGAGCCAAGCTGCACTAAAAGCCTCCAATACAGGAAACACAACGTTGCCAGCCAATCAAGACAAAAAAAGCCACAAAACAGATAGAAGATATTAGAAACACCAATCAAGCAGAACACAGCAAACTCCAAGACCAATAAACACAGACCAAGACTCCCAACCAATCAGGATGAAGAAAAAACCATTCTGGCACAGCAGTAGGCTAGCCCCAAATTTAAAACTGAAACGGCTGTGAAAGTCTGACTCACAAACGAACACTATACAGAGGCCTGATGATGGCAGATGAGATTCTGCCGAAACGTTGCTACAACTTTAAAAGTACAACTATAATGACGTGGGAAAATACCCGAACAAAGCTGAATACCATATATATGTTTTAAATGTATGTCAAATTAATGTTTTTTTCTAGAATAAAAATTTATGCACACACACACACACACACACACACACACACACACACATATACACATACACATACATGTATAAAGAGGTAGTAGCCCAAATCCAGTCCTACCGCCTATCCACTGCTTTGGGAACCAGAAGGGTGGAGAGGGCAAGGAAAGATTTGATTCATAATGACTGTCAGAGATACAGTATAATGATTCTGTAATTTGTCTCCAAAGACACAACAGCTAAACTTCCATGTACATAATTTCTTATCACAATGGAGCCCAACATTTCTGTTGCTAAGTGAGTTTTGCCCCATTTTTACAACCTTTCTTGCCACTGTTGTTAAGTAAACCATTGCAGTTGTTAAAGTTAATAACAGGGGTGTTAAGAAAATCTGGCTTCCCCACCGACTTTGCTTCAAAAGTCCCCAAAGGGGACACAACCCCAGGGCTCTGATGCCACAAGTCCAAATTTTAATCACGAGGATGCTGAAAGGGTCATAAGTATGAAAAATGGTCATAAGTCACTTTTTTCAGTGCCACTGCAACTTTGAATTGTCACTAAATGAATGGTTGTAAGTCAAGGGCTACATGTACTATGGGTTTATCTCTGAGAGGCTTGTCAACCTATGCATTACAACTCCTGGAATTCTCAACAGTAATTACCCTAATGGATGAATCTGGGAATTGCAGTCCTCAGATCTTGAGAGAACCCAGTTTAAAGGCATTTAAGAACATTTAGCTGCTGCCAACCTAGCAGTTCGAAAACATGTAAAAATGCAAGTAGAAAAATAGGGACCACTTTGGTGAGAAGTTAACAGCGTTCCGTGCACCTTTGGCATTTAGTCATGCCGGCCACATGACCACGGAGATGTCTTTGGACAGCGCTGGCTCTTCGGCTTTGTAATGGAGATGAGCATGGCCCCCTAGAGCCAGAAATGACTAGCACATATGGGCTGCGTTACCTTTAAGAACATTTAATCAAATCCTTACTATGTTACAAGGTTGTGAGTAAATCATTTTAAAAGAAATTTGGCAAGGGCTGAGGCAAGTACTTTTATTTTCTTGATATGGTTGTAAGAGTAATCAACTACTCAACTCCTATTACTGAAATATGAAATTCTATGTATTTACATTAAAAAAAAAAACCTCTTCAACTGCATCATTGCAGTTTTACTATTGTCCTTTTACTATTACCAGAACTGGAAAAGAAGGGGCCACGAACAGGCTGAAGCAGGCTGTCAATCTATGATTTCCCACACCATCACAAAGTAAACAAAACTCCCCAGGAAGTATATTTTGCTAAATCAGTAGCCACTGCATGTAACTAGAGAGGAAGGGAGGGAGGGAAGGAAGGAAGATCACAGCTTTGACCGTCTTCTGTTGTCCACTCACATCAGCTTCATTCCAAAGGCCTGGGATACAGAAGGACTCCAGCAGATCGCTTCCACACAGCAGCAAGATTCGGAGCTCTGAAGAAAAGAGATACAGCTACTGAGACGTGCCCCTGTAAAACCACTCCCCACTAATCTCTTTGCCTTGATGCAAAGGCTTGGAAAAGGAAGGAAAGCAGAAACGACACGGCTTTAAAACAGAGTTGTGGTTCCTGTGTTGTGAAAACACTCTGGAATTGTTGCCATCTGTCTGTCAATTGGTTTAATCTACTTCACTGACCACTAATATTCCTTAAGCAACGTCAGTGTTACCTTCATTTTTGGGCAATTTTGTGCACCAATATAATGAGTGCAACAGTGACTTTTCTATGCCTGTGTGACCACAAAAGCAGAAACAGAATAACAGAATTGGAAGGGACCTTGGATGTCCACTAATCCAGACCTCTGCTCAAGCAGGAAACCTATTCCATTTCAGACAAATGATTGTCCGCTCTCTTCTTTTTTCCCCCCAAAATTTTATTGATTTTTAAAAAACAAACATAAACAAACAAAACACGAAAACATAAAGCATCTTTTTTGAAAGCGGCTTGATCCCGGGTTACATCTCTTCGTACAGATATAGATTCAAGTTCATGCTCACTTTTATATACCGTTCCATATCTTATTATCACTCTAGATTTTCTATATAGCTTCTCCCCTCTTTTAATTCTCTTAATTCTATTTTATTTATTTCATCTCAATTTCAATCATTATATTTGTATCCTTTGTCTGTCCTGTTTCAGCTGTCTATTATCTTTTCTCATTAAAACAAAATTTCTCCTGTAATCACTGATTGGAGTATGGCGCCTTTATATCTTTCCCCTAAGTTTATAACACTTAATATAAAACATAACTTTCATTCGGATTCTGCTTAGTACATTCTAAAGCTACACACTATATTTTAAGAAAAGAAAAAATTATAAATATATAATATAATTAAAACAACAATCCATACCAATTCAACTCTATCGTTAAAATTAATATTCATTTAAATCTTAAACATTTTACACATTACTTTTCAAATAGGTATCATGTTTCTATGGGAACACTTATAAATTTTGTGTAGTTACTTCCCCCCATTTCACTTATATTTTAAAACATTGTATAATTAAAATGTTCCCATTCCTTCCTAATTCAATTATCTCATTTATTTCATTTCATTTATTTGGTTCAAAAAAAGTTTCACTGAATTACACTGAGTATTTTATCCCATTTTATAATCATATGTTGTTCCAATTTTCTAACATTATTTCTAATACAAGTATAACAATACAATCTTATGTACCTTTGCAGAATCTCTTTTTCAGTTATATTTTTACCCATTATCTCTGAATAAGTCCTGTTTCTTTACATCTTGCTCCAAACCTTCATAGCTTCTCTTCCCTTCCTTCCTCCCTTGCTTCTCTTCTTCACTCTGCCCTTTTTACCCCCTTGTCTCTCCACCTCTATTTCCCTCTTCTGTGTTCCCCTTTTCTGTTGCTTTCTGACATTATATCCACTTTTCACCTTATTTTTCCCTTTTTTGGTTGTTTTTTTAGGTCTTAAATTCTCCATTCTCTTTCCCCACTTTCCCCTTTCTTCGCCAGATAAAGTTACTTGTTCATTAAAGATGGCTTCTTCTTTGTCCCAATCTTCTTGTTGCTCAGTCTTTTCTTGTAATTTTTCATAGGTACAGATCGCCATTTCTAAGAAATGAAAAACGGAGCCAAAAGAGCCCTTCCGTTCTTGTTCCTCTTCTTTATATTTTTTAAATTCCATTTTCAGTTCATCCACAAGTGATGCCATTGTAAAAACAAATTTGGACAACCACCCAAGTGTTTTTAATTATTCAAATATAATTTCCAAAAGTCCCAAAGTCACCAAACAATCCAAATACACACAAGCTGTTTCATTTAACAATTTCTTCTTTTTTCACTTTCTCTTCCTGGGGTTACAATTTAGTTACAAAGTTCCAGTTAAAATGTATCTTTTAGAAGTCTTATTACGATTTAACTTTAGATTCTTTTAAATTCCAAGCAGCCTCCTCCAGCCAAATCTTGCTCTTATTCTTTTCCTCTCCCTTCCCACTTACAGCAAAAAAAGTTTTTTAAGTGCTCAGAAATCTTTATTGTCCTCTTGGCATTTAATTTTCCAGTTTAATTACCTGCTGATGCCAAAGCATTTTTTTCCGATTTCTCATTCATCTGCTGTCAACGTAAGGAAGGAGAGTGAAAAAAACCCTTTCCCTTTTCACTTTCATTCGCTGCTTCCGATTCTTCTTTGGGAGTGATGTATCTTTTTTTAAAATTTAAATTCCAGGATATCTTAGTTGTTGCTTCTTATCCCGGTCAGCCAAAATTTTCACTTCTTAACTTCCTCCTGCACTTTCTTTTCCAGATGAGTGCTTCTTTGAGGCGGCCATTTCTGACCGCCACTCTTACCGCCTTCGGAAAAGGGAGTTTACCCAGCTGAGGAGGAGAGGTGTGGCTCCCCTCAAACCCTGCCGGATCTCCCCTGTGTTCACCACCTCTACGGGGTGGCTTAGCCCTGAAGTCAACTGGCTCGGGGCATTCCAGCGGTGAGTCCAGGCAGAAACCTTGCACAATCGTGGATTCCTGCCTGCCCTGCAAACTGGAAGCCTTCATTGTCCACTCTCTTCTTAAAAACCTCCAGTGTTGGAGCACCCACAACTTCTGGAGTCAGGTTGTTCCACTGATTAATTGTTGTAACTGTCAGGAAATTTCTCCTTAGTTCTAAGTTGCTTCTCTCCTTAATTAGTTTCTATCCATTGCTTCTTGTCCTGCCTTCAGGTGCTTTAGAGAATAGCTTGACTCCCTCTTCTTTGTGGCAGCCTCTGAGATATTGGAACAATGCTATCATATCACCCAGAGGTGGAATTCAGCAGATTCTGACCAGTTCTGGAGAACCGGTAGTGGAAATTTTGAGTAGTTCAGAGAACCGGCAAATACCACCTGACTGGAGATTTTACAGTATCCTTCCCCTGCCAAGCCCGCCAAGCCACGCCCACAGAACCAGTAGTAAAAAAATTTGAATTCCACCACTGATGTCAACCCTACTCCTTCTTTTCATTAAACTAGACACTTCCTGCAACCATTCTTCATACTCATAAGACTTTTGATGCAGTTGACTAGAGAGAAAATATCCTTCTGTCTTATGTCTGATGGTGACTTGGTTTAAGAAATGCAGGAAAGTATTCAATGAATTATTTCCATTATGCCATATTCCACTACCTGTCACTCCATTCCATAATGGCAAGGCTCACTAGAATTTGCAGGTAGGTTCCCATAAAATTATAGTCAACATCAAGGATATAAAATCCTTAAAATGTGGAATGTGCTATGGATTGCTAGCTTCTGTCATGCTCCATTTTATGGATTGGCACACACACACACACACACACACACACACACACACAATGTATTCCAAAATGACATAATTGGAAAAGCTATGGGGTAGTTATTTTTGGTAAGTGTACATTAGGGGAATGCATACTTCCATCTATTAAGGATGATTACAGTGATAATGAATGTGGGTTTTTAATTGTAAGATTAATTTACAGACAACAATTATAAGTGAAAATAAGTGTCAATGCACAGGAAGCGATTTGGAATGATTTTTCACACCCTCAACTCATTATTAGCTGCTTGTCAGTCTGAAAGGCATTGCTGGGTCTTTGATGTCATATGCATTTTATTATCTGGGAAGCTGCATAGTATACAGCACGACAAATCATTTGGATTCAATCCAAAAAAAGGTGGTTTGGAAGGAGACATAAATCAATCCTGTAAATGACACATTTACAACTCTTCAAAACAGCTAAATCTTTTCCTAAAATTTCACAGTCTTGGAAGAGTTGCAAGCAACTGCTAAATTTATAGTCTCTTCATGCTCTAAAGCACTGATTGAAATCCGTTCCAAGTAAGATGATGTAGATAATATCATTCCAGTCTTCCCCATTGTACAATACAGCCCCCATAAACTCCCTGATCTTTGTATATATGTTGTCAACTGATACAACATTTCTATGCTTATTTTAGAGTTGCCATGAAGAGAAGAGGGGGAGGGAGAAAATTGAAAGAGCAGTGCAGCAGTTTGGAACCGAAAGTGCGTTCCATTCTTATCTTGCAAAGATTATAACTAAGCTACCAGAATTTCTGCCTGGCAAATCTCTACTTGGAGAACGTGATTGATGGCTCTTAGCTAAGAATGTGTTTTGTTGGAGAATATGAATTATGATACACCGAGTGAGGTGAGGGGAAACCAGGGTCAAGGGTGAAGTGAATTACATGTCTCAGAATCACTTCATGGCTTTATACAGATCATGCCGACATGTTCGCTCCTAATAAATTCTTTGAAGTTTTTGACGCCTTGGCTCGAGGCTCATGATTTAATTAGGGCAACTGCATATGTATGTATTGTACATATGTATTGTTTTTCCAACTAATATCAACATCAATCGTGCAATAAAGTAACCACAACTCTTCTACCCCTTTTATATGCAAATATGCCCACTTTTACAAGGGCCTATGGATGATGCTCACTTACCAATCTCTTCATATCTCATCACAGTCCCCAAATTAGCATTTTCATCTAGAAAGTAAGAAAATAAAATGTTGAAATTGTATTTCACAGGAAGACCTACAATTAGGTAATCTATTAGTTAAAAACACTATATTTACTAAGCAACTCTTACAACACAATCAAATATTGTGCTCTTTTGCAAGTGTACTTAGAGCACCTTTTATAAAGACCATAATTAAAAGTAATTACAGAAAAATGAGGGTTCTAAGTAGTGATAATAACTGGCTGAAATGAAGTGGATCAAATGTGGAAGAGGCTGGTAAGCCCAAATGCTGAATGCATTATTTCTATTACTTAGTCATGCTCCACATCTAGTATATTCCTAAGAGAGTCTTCTGAACTCCAGAATATATCAAATATATCAAATCCAGTATCGGCATAACAAGATTTTTGAGTCTAAAAGATGCCTGACAAATTGAAAAGCAAGTATCATATTAGATAGTTAAAAAAATCATTTTCAGTCCTGGTTTGTATTGATCCAACTTTTCTGAAGCACATCTAAGTAATTCACATATAGTGTTCAGCATAGTCCTGGAAATACTTGGGGATAAATTGAGGGAGACTGGTATTGCCAGAGGCACAGTGTACTTCCATCATCAGCTATTGTTGGTAGAAATCTTTCAGTTGTTCTATTTAGTTGTGTAACAAACAATCTCCAGAAGAAAAGCTAATGTCAAGTACAAGGGAAATCGAGAGAGTCAAGCAGTTCAGATGAGTAGAAAGATCTATTGAAAGCTTAAGCTCTCTACAAAAATCTGAGCTACTAACAGTAAGGGAAATGAGTGGGAATTAAGAAGTCATTCAAGGTAGGCCGGACTTAGACCTCTTGTGGGCACACAGGGACTCATGACTAATGATGTGTTTGATCCCTCCCTCAGGCTCAGCCTGGTCATCTACATCTAGAAAAAAAATCTAATTTCAGTCACAGGTCACAAGTTTTATCTGGCTGCAGACAATCCCTTTTCAACAACATACCTACAAAGGTGAAACGCTCCATGGGGGGACGAACACAGCAAATCCTGCTAAGGCTTTCTCCCACCTTCCCCAAAAGTTTTGCTAAGGAAAAAAAGGAAAGCAGAGGATGAAACAGGAAAATCAGCATTTAATACAGTGTGGAAGTACTATAGTTTACAAATGAAACATTATTGTTCCTCCATTCAGTGGCTTTCCTGTACAATTTAAAATGTACATATGTGGGTTGTGATTTGATCACTCTATTTTTTTTTATTCTTGCTTTGACAAAATGTTACTGCTGTCCTCAACACAAACACAGCACAGAACCTGAATTTATTTCTGAGAACTACACAGCACACAAAAACAGGTATCCTCTTATTCAGATGGAAATCACTAAAATACAATTCCCCCTCTGCAGTTTAAGTATATAACAAGAATCCAATTTGACCCATGACTTAAAAGTTATACTAAATTCAGCCAAAATTGAAATATTTATTTAACTGAGAGCATCAACTACGGAGTTATTTTGACAATATAATAAAACATACATTTAAAATGAAACTCAGTGAGAGAGATACTTAAAAGAAAAATAAAATTAAAATCAACAATGAAAATAATATGTGGTGAAGAAAGTATAAACCAAAATCCATGACCTTCAACAGCCATTTCTAGCTAATGAGCAGTTACAGCTATGATTAAAATACTGAGTTTAATTTATTTTGTTATTTTTAAATAATATTAGTATATCATCATGAGCATGCACAATTAAAAGTAAAGTAAAACAGAAATAAAAATATATATTTACAAAGTAGAAATAGATACTGTAATGTATCTCTGAATGCCAGACCTGAGGCTGGGCAAGGCAGAAATGGTTGACCAGTGATACTGAACCTATGATATGTATCAAAGCTGACACACCGCAATGTTTTGGGTAGCAAGACTCAGCAACTATCCTAGAAAGCACGTCCTGTTATTGCACAATTTTCAGAGGCCACAGAGGGGATGCGTGCTTTCGTGTAGCTTCCAAAGCCTCCCAAAATCATGTTAAAAGGCTGTGCTCTCACATGATCTCTAGACTTTCTGAAAATGAGTTTTAACTGTAGTTTACTTTTTTAGCTGTTTGAAGTTTCTTTGTATAATATTGAGGACCACATGACTGGATTGCATTTTTTTAAAAAATAATGGAATATGTAAAGGATTGTTTCTCTTTTGTTCGTGGGCAGGCACCAACAACATCAAGTTTGACATTTTCCAAAGTTTTGACACACCGAGTCCAAAAGATTTTCATCACTGTGCTAGACTAAATGGTCTCTATCAGATTTAGCAGGGCACTTGTGTTACATTTAAAGACAATATCACCTACTGGATGATCAAAAAGTGAAAGGGATCTATTCCCCCCACCTCCTTTTTTTTTCTCTGTCCCCAGAAGTTGTTTATGTGTGAAACCAAACATTTTAATATCCAGTTCTCTTTGGATAATTCAGGTTAGTAGTTTGCAAGATAAAAAAAAAAAACTCCCTGTGCCATTAAACCCACTCCAAGTGTGAACCACTGCAGCTGTTCCAGTCATTTTTTCTCCTACCTTCTTAGGCACTCTCTGCCACCTGTTGAAGCCAAGAGCAAACCAGGTGTGCCAGTCAGAAGGTGAGAAAGAAGCAGATGAAAGGATGAGGAATGGCTGAAACGTCTCAATATGCAATTTAGTGGAAGGTTTATAATTAGAGAGTGGCAGCTATCCCGAGTATAGATTATAAAGATGAATGAGAAAGTCTGACTGAAACATTTTGCTTATTTTGGGTGGAACAGGACATGGCTTTCCCCTCCAGATCTTCCCCGCCAAAAATCTAATCTGGCCAATTATTTTGGCATCTGAAGCAGGAAACACTATTGCAAGTTCTCTTCTCTCACCTGGGTTGCTGTTGTATTTTCAACAGCTTCTACATTTTGGGTTTTCTGCTCACTCTTACCTGCAGTTGGCTTGTTGGAAAGGTTGCTGTTCTGGTAAATAGGTTGTGGGGTCTCGTTCTGGGGCTGACCAATCACTGGGGTCAGAGAAGGTGTGTTCACATTGGACAGGATACAACCAGTAACTCGCTGGAAGAAATAACAGAGCAGAATAACAAGAGTTGGACTGGTCTTCGGAGGTCTTTTAATCCAACACCCAGCTCAAATTGGAGACCCTATATCATTTCAGATAACTGGCTAGTCAAAGTTAGTTTGCATTTTCATATGCTTAGTTCATAGATATCTACTGAAAAAGGGAAAAATAGGCTTTTGTTTTGTTTTTACAAAGCTGCCCTTACCCAATTTTATTTCCCTATTGGCAACTTTGCCCAAACCCTGGGTCACATCTTTCTCCATTTTGTTCCTACACCCTCTGTCTGTCAGCAGAACAGTGTGAAGATAGTATTCCTGTGTTCAGATCAGACCATAGCCAAGTTATTGAGGAAAAGTACTGTCATAGTCCTAATCATGACTGCAGTTTTCCATGTACACTTCTCAATTATCAAGAAAGATCAGGTGAAAATTGGCTATTAATCTCAATGGCTATATCGATAGTATCACCAGGCAATAGGTTTGTCAACATCTCTAGCTGGGAAACCCTTTGCTGAAGGTGGCCTGGTATTTATGGAAAGGTTCTAGAGTTCACAGACTTCTACCTGGGAAGGAAACAAAAAAGCACCCCCTAATAGTAATCCTTTAGACTGGTTTGACAAGATATCCCTGATGCTGTTAAGAGAGACCTGGGAGCTTTAGGCCTCTGGTGCTTATTTTAACCCATATGCATCAGTACTGAAAGTATAAGTTTTTCATTCCAAGCTGCGAGAGTGGTAGCGATCTCAGTGTTCATGAGTACAGGCTAAGAAAGATGCTTAGTTCAGCCAAAACCTAGGGAAGAAGAACAAGATTGCAAGCAAAACCAACATGCTCTAAATATTGACAGGAAGCATTGAACCTGGTTTGGGACAGGAGTATTGACTTAACTAAGCCTTTTTGTTTTGCAAGGAATCACAGGACACTAGACAGGAAGTAGGTTAGAGGCAGTGGTGGGATTCGATTTTTTTTAACTACCGGTTCTATGGGGGTGGCTTGGTGGGCGTGGTAGGGGAAGGATACTGTAAAATCCCCATTCCCTCCCCACCCCACTAACCTGCCTTCCTACTCCATTCTCCTGTGCAGAGCAACAAAAGAAGACCCAACCGATCAGCTGGGACTCGGGAGGCAGAGAATAGATGGGGGCAGTTCTCTAGATTACTCAAACTTTCTGCTACTGATTCTCCAGAACTGGTTAGAACCTGCTGAATACCACCTCCAAATTACAGCTGAGTTCCATAGTTGTTTGAAAGGGATTATGTCTGGATTTAGGTATACAATAACCTTTTTTTAAATAATCAGGCTATTTTCTGATTTCCTTTATTCCTTGTTAATTTTGCCTATAGTTTGCTTTATACTTTGCTCAATACCTCTCTGCTATAGGAATTGAGATACATTAACAAGTAAAACTCCTTCCATTTGCCTAAATTGTTCTTTGAGAAGCTCCAGATTATGCAATCATAGTGCTGGTTGTAATGTCCTAGTAACAATCTGGTTAGAAGAAGAAATAGGAGCGTCTGACTCACTGGCTTCTTAAGGCTTTGAGAACAGAACATCCTTGTGGATTATATAGCACAAATGCCTAATGCCTAAGGTGCTCATCTTGCTTGGTGAATTTAAAACTGATTGATGAGCCAAAGATGCATTTCTGTTTAAAGTCTTAAACCCTCGGTAGCCTAAACAAACCATCATGTGCATTGAGGTTTTCAAAGACTGAGTTTTTCAAATTCCTTTCATTGTGCAATTGCAAAAAAATGTATCTGAAACAAAGCCTGGTTGATTTCCCTCAAATCAAGGCATTTTTATTCTCTTTAACAGTATACTTCTTCACAGTATACTTCTTATTGCAATAGATGCATTATTATTCTGTAATAATGTAATAATTACAACTTTTTAAACATACCTTAAAAACGTTATGACTACCTCTTATAATTTTGAGCAAAAGGTGGCAGAGATACCTTTAAAATGAACAAATGCCCAAGAAATTGCAATATGAAAAAAGCAAAGATTGCATTTAACTTGTTCTTTAAAAATAATATAGTAAATGCAATGTATTAGAGCAGTGGTTCCCAACCTTTTTTTTCGCCCTGCACCCCTAAAGAAATTTCACTCGAACCTCGCACCCCCTGGAATAAAAATGCCAACATATATCCAATATCCTATTATTTACCTGGACTTTTCTCGCACCCCCTGGAATATCGTCTCGCACCCCAGGTTGGGATCCCCTGTATTAGAGTATGCAATAACAGGAACAATCTTTTTGTCTGCCACCAGGGGGTGCTGTATTCTTTTGTAAAAGGCAGAAATAAAGAGGTGGAACATTATTATCAAGCATTGTTGAAAATTGAATGTGCACCCTCAGTGGAAATGAAAAGTTTGATCTACAAAAGAATTATTTAGTATTTCTTTGAATATATACAAATACATATGTCAACATCTATAATACATTACAATAATAATGTGGGAGTTAGCTATCAAATCTTCCTGATTACAAATTAACAGAGTTGGGAGGGACCTTGTAGGTCATCTAGTCCAACCCCCTGTCCAATGTCCAAATGGCAGTCCAATGTTGTCATGTCCCTGTTGGAATCTGACTCTGAGGGAGAGGTGGAACAGATGGCAGGGAGTGGGAGTGTAGCTCTGATGGTTGTGGAGGAAACTGGGGAAGGGCACAGGCTGGGCGGGCATTCAAAGGAAGACCCAGGTCCATCCCCTCTAGGGCACACAGGGAGGAGCAGATAAGGGAGAAACATGAGTGGCATGGTCTATGGGGGGAAAAGGGGCCCTGATCCCCTTCATGGGGACTGCAGCTGGGAGGACTGTTTAAAAGGACAAACTGCGCATGACAAAGTTGCTGGAAGCAAAGCATGCATTATTCTTGTCGAAGCTTATTTGGGTTTTGGCTTCCTCCCAATTGTGGTTGCTGCGTTATCTGGTAAAGTCTGCAAGTTATCATCCTGGCTTGCCTTATTAATTACTTCAGTGTGGTTTGTGTAGGGTTTTATTATTTCTAATTAACTTTACTTTGGGTTCAGACTGCATTTACTCCCTCCATAGACAGTTTTCTTTAAGAGTTTGATATCCAACCGAGGATAATTGGACACTGGGGCCCGAGTTGGAGGCATTAAAGGGAATTTATTCTATTTTTGTGACTTTGTTATTTTTGCCCTGGGTCTCAAATCTCTTCTTGAAAGTCTCAGGTGATGAAGCTCCCATAACTTTTGAAGGCAAGCTGTCCATTGATTGATTGTTTTCACTAACTCCTCTAACAGCCTTCCCAAATGTACTGCCCATCATAACTCTAAAATTCTTCTGTTATCATCCCTCAGCTACTGCTGCCATGTTCATAGAAAGAAATCAAATATCGTTTCAAACATATTACCATATTCTTGTTAAATGATTTGTTAAGTTCAGATTAGTGTCCAAAAATGTGAGCCGTGACTTGTGGTCAACAAGTTCCTTACCCCTGGCTATTTTGTTGGGAACATCAATATCTCTTGAAAATTGTTGATAAATCCTTCTCTTTTTAAAATGAGTCAAAACAGAAGCCAGGAATTCAAAATGACCCTATAAAATGATTTCTGACAAATAAGAGAGAGAACACTGGGGTTTCTAAAACAAAGCTAACCATTTGATGCCCCTTCCAATATGTTGCCATGACCCTTGATCTGCCAGAATTGGTCAAGCTTTCCAATTGTTGCTTTTCATAACAATGAAAGGAACAAAGGTGCTCAGTGGAATTTTCCTGGACAGGAAACACAGCAGCCACCGGAACAGTGTAGGGTCTTTTAATCATACTGAGAAATATGCAAACAAATTAGATGTTGTAAATATTTTGGGCTTCCTCCTTCTTAAGCTCCTCTGAAACATCAATTTCTGAATCAAGGAAATGGTGGGGGAAGGTGGGAGGCATTTCTCTCCTCCCCCGTTAGTATGACTTTCTAATATATTGCTTCTCTTTCCCTACAATATTCCCAGGGTTCTCTTTCTCATTAGCAGAATCTGAGAGCTAAAATGAGCGTGGCAGTAAATGTGTCTCTCTTTAATTTTTGCTGTATTTTAATAATTAAGAGCCACTATGAGAAGCTCTGCTTTCACTAAGTCCATAGCACATGGGAAGGTAGTTTTTTTTTAAAAAAAAGTTGAGTGATTTATTCTCTGCCTTTCAACATTTAAACAACAGAATTAATTCCTTTTTTAATCTGGCCCTGCTAGAAATCACTTCCATGTGATAGCTATTAAGCCCCACTAGCATCAGTTAGCTTCAGGAGCAATATTCATCAAGCCTACTACAAATTGGGGAGGGGGGCTTTTTTTTCTCTCCCCAACATCTCATATTCTTTCTGAACATTTGCACACACTCAAAGACAAAGCTTTGAAGGTGTTTGGCAGGGGAATCTCCAGGGAGGGTCAAAAAAAGACAAGATGGCAGTGGTGATTGCATAATCAAAACCTTGGGTTTTTTTTAATTGTCATGCACATTTTTTAATTTTTAAACATTTTTTAAAACCCTGTATCTTTGATTTGGCTGACACCCTGATTTTTTTGATCCCTCTGCAGACCCCACCAATGGTGGCACTCAGAATGGTTTCCTTGTCTACTTTTAGCAGTGCCCACAGCCAAATACAGTATATGGTTTCTCCTTTTTTTTTTCCTGGAATTTTTTTATTGCTTGTATGCTTTGTTTTTTGAGAACCAGGGCAGGATGGGAAGCAAGCAAAGTACATGTCAATGTGTCAATATTGTCAATATTTGAAGTTTCTTAGAAGCTGGAAGGTAAAATGTGTATGGATTTATGCACACTGTGTAGAAAATGGAAAGGGAAATAGTTTGCTCATTATTTTAAGACTAGAACTTGAGTTTATTGAATGAAATAGTGCGTGGTGAGAATTAGGAATTTTTTTGTCATACAGTGCTGAATTAGCCAATTGAGCTTGTTAACCACATGATGTCATGATGGACATCAACTTGGACAACTTTAAAGGAGGAGGTGCAGCAGACAAAGCAAATCTTCAATTCAGAGATATGATTCAAAACTGATTTGGTCAAGTATCTGAACCGTAGGAACCAGTTTGGAAGCAACCCTATTAGAAAGATTCATGGAAGGTAAAGTTACTCATGGTTACTAGTAAAAATGGTAATCAAAGCCAAATAACTTTCATGGCAGTTGTTGAGGAACTCAAAAAGAACAACACCGTTTCCACAGATATCTTGTTGCCCATTTGTGAAAAGAATATTTGGCTTTATGGATCAATGGTCTGATAAAAAAAATTCTGTGCACTCAAGATAAGATAACATATACATCTTTCCAGTCAGATCAGAGCAGTACTTTCAATGACCATTTTTTTTTTACAGGACTAAAATTACAGTTGTAATCAGAGTTCTATTATCCACTTTCAAACCAAAAGGAAAGAATAGCTAAGTCAAGTCCAGACCTTATACATATTCACGTCCCAAACGAGCAGAAAGGTCCATAATCAACTTTGATTAAGTGTTTGCTGAGACACTCCATTAACAGTTTATATTAGTGGGATAACTGGTGGAATTGACCCTGAATTAAGAGCTCAGGGTACAATAAGGAGACAGGATGTTGGAAAATGACCATTCCCTCCTTAGAAAGAAATAGACAGCAATTTTTAAATGAATTGTACTTCCGTACCTAAAGTATTTGCCAATCTCATTCACAAGAGAGTTCTTATTTGCTCCAATTTTGTTGATGGGAAACAAAGTGCAAGAAAAGAGCGCTAAGGATTTCTAAATCCGATTCCAAGTCGATAACATCCGATTCTAAATCCGATTCTAAATCGATAACAATTTTGATGGCCTTTTGCTGGGGTCACCGGCACAGCCTCTTTGCAGAGGCAGAAGAAAATCAGGTTACATAATATAGACATTGTCCACACATCGTGCCCTTAATATACATTCAGAATGGGGCTATGCTATACTGCTCTCCATGTGGCTTCACTATGTGACACGGGAAGGACAGTTACTGGCTGAAATTCAGACATTGCCATTCATGGGAAAAATCACCACCAATCAGCCCTGATGTAACATTCATAAATGAATTTGGAGCTGGAGCTCACAAAAAGTATTTTGATATGATTCTGGGATGCTCTTGGGCACATAAGACTTAGGAAGGGGGGGAAATATGTGTGGTTGTATGTTGATGCCATACTTGTACCAACTTATGTTTTATATTGAAGTTAACCTCTGAAAGAATATCCAGTGAGAATGGAAACTGAATTTAAGAAGTAAAAAATATCTTATTGCCAGGATACAAAACATCTGATTATTCTTAATCCCTTTTCTGGTTGTAACGTAAAAATTCTAATTTTTGAGGTGAAGCCACTTTCCATTACATTTTCAATGAATAACATGAACTTAACCCCTTAGCCAGTGGTGCTGTTCTACTGGTTTGGCCTGGTTCTGGTGTACCGGTAGCGTCGAAGATCAGCAGAGACCAAACCTGTTCTCTCCGATGCTCTGCAGTTGGGCCCACTTGCCCACATGGGCTCCCATACTGACCTTTATTGAAGCGCAGCTGCTTTGTGTGGCACAGCAGATTGCCGCACATCAGCTGCTGAAGCTACCGCGAGTGTGCAGGATTGCAGGAGATGAGTAGGAAAGCCTCTGCGCATGTGCAAAGTGCGCGTTTGGCACACGCACGCATGCAAAGCGTGTATGCACGTGCACATAGCAGGCCCACCAAGCCACACCCACCGAACCCACCACAGCCCCTAGCCTAGTATTCTCAATCTCTGCCATCAGCTTTAGCCATTAAACTCACTTTCATCAGATCCCGGTGATGTTCCAGTACACTGCAGGTGGTTTGCCAAGTATCCTGATAACATTCCCAGGGGTCCACCCTACGATGAGGAAGAAATTAGAAAACTCCGATTTGACAATCATAAATAACAATTACAATAACAATAACAATTACAATTACACACACACACACACACATATACCATTTAATTGCAAAATTTTACTTTAAACCATTCCATCTGAAAGGAAGTCAACCCAGAATGTGAGATAGTCTGTTGCACCAAAGAAATCAGAAAGGGAAAAAAGTGCACCTGGTTCAGGTTCTCTATCTGTCAGTTGATTTGGGGAGGTTTTTCCCTGCTCCAATCAAATGTATCTGCTCTATAAGAACCGATAGCTCTGAAGAGCAGCAGACACAGAACCGGTTCTGTGTCTGCGGCTGTTTGGCCCACCTACCCACCCGGGCTCTTACCTGACCTTTATTTCCTATTTTTTCAACTGCAGCTCCTTTGCGCGGCACAGCTGAGGTTGAAAAAGCAGGAAAAAAGTGCTCTTTCAAACACTGCGCACCCGCACGCAGCGCTTATCAGCAGTCCGGGCGGCACAGCTTTAGGTGTATTACACACGCGTAAAACGCGTATACGCACGCAAAACATAATCACCAAACTGGAAGTAACACCGGTCGAATCCCACCCCTGCCTGATTTTGGTTACCCTTAAAAAGCTAAGTAGGAAGAGATCACCCTGAAAGGGCTAAAGCAAGTTAAAGGAAAACATCCCAAGAAACAGGCCCGACAAACCAGGTTCATATGGTTGCTTAAGAGACCCATATGGAATGTCCGTGAAGTCAAACTCAACACGAAGAATTTTTTCCGTTTACATTTTATGGATTTGCCTACATACAGTATGTACTGGCCTGTGGCCACAATTCCCTCCAAAGAGAAAACCAAGGAAAAGATTAAATGACTACCAATTGTAGAATTGCGTTACTGACAAAGTGAAATCAACTGATTTGGTTGCATAGATTCTTATACTGGGCTTATGATAACGCTTTGCTGAATTGTTTTGCTGGTATCGTCATACTGTTTGCTTATTTCCATATTGGAGGACAGAGAGTAGTCTGCCTTTCTATAAACTGACTTTTCAAAAAATAATATAAAAGGAACAGATACCGGAGCTAGGAACATCTTGAACTAGTGCAATAGAATTTACACCAGTTCTACCAATTTAAAGTTAAGATGATGAGTAGATTTCAAAATGGATTTGTCATCTGATTGTAGGTCTACTTGTCTCTTGGCAAAACCTTGCTCAGATCAACTGGAAAATGCTAACTGTCATTTCTTCTTTATCAAACATGACAGAATATTTAGTAATAAATTGTTGTTTATTAGAGCCACAATCCTGTCATGCTTGCAGTCTTTCGAGCAAACTAATTGTACCAGAGTTTTTCCAATATACTTATGGTCATGACGTGTTATCATCAAATAAAACTGCCTTTCCTCCTGGGTATTTAGATTCGTACCTCTAATAGCAAATATTGGGGTCCACTTCATCTTGAACAAATCTAGTTTCAGGCCTTCATGTCAAAATTTGAGATGAGGGAGTATTGTGGAAAACAGATGTGTGACATTAACCCACACAAAAACAAGGAAAGGTCCAGCACAGGAATGCTTGCACTGAAGTATGTGTGGGAGTTGGTTGTAAAGAAAAGGTGATGGCCGCACAGGGTACATGTTAACCATCCCCTGTATTTGTTAGATTTATATCCCACCTTACTTCAGGAACTCAAGATGGTATACATAGGAGGAGGGAGCCTTAATTTCCCCATAACATCAGTGAGGCACGTTGGGCTGAGAGACAGTGACTGGGCCAAAGTTTTCCAGTGAGTTTTGTTGGCTGAGGGTGGGCCCTTATGACTACAGGTAGTCCTTGACTTACAACATTCATTTAGTGACTGCTCGAAGTTACAGTGGCACTAAAAAAGTGACTTATGACTGTTTTTCACACTTATGACCATTACAGCATCCCCATAGTCATGTGATCAAAATTCATATGCTTTGGCAACTGACTCATATTTATTGCAGTGTCCTGAGGTCATGTGATCACCTTTTGTGACCTTCTGGCACACAAAGTCAATAGGAGAAGCCAGATTCATTTAACGACTGTGTTAGTAAGCTAACGATTGCAGTGATTCACTTAACAACAGTGGCAAATAAGGTCATAAGATGGGGGCAAAAGTCACTTAACAAATGTCTCAATTAGCAACAGAAATGTTGGGCTCATATGTGATTGTAAGTTGAGGACTACCTGGTTTATGAGAGACTGAAATATGGAATGAAGAAGACAACCTCATATATCATACTATGTACATACAATATGTTAAGTTGCCACAATATTAGCGTATTGTCTCAATATGAGAGGCAACTCTAGTAAGAATGGGTTAATACAGATGGATTTGGATACTGACAAACTACCGTATTTTTCGCTCCACAAGATGCACTTTTCCCACCCCCAAAAGTGGGTGGAAATATCGGTGCGTCTTATGGGGCAAAAATACTGGCCGTGGTGTTGGCAGGGTCCTTTTACAGTGCTGAACCCCACCTCTTCTTTCTTTGCCATTGCCTGTTTTCGTCCTTTAAACCTAGGTTGCGTCTTATAGTGTGAAAAATATGGTACATATCTTAATCTGGCATGATGGGCTACTGACTACTGGTACGTTTCCAGAGGAATAATATTCCTAGAAAATACATATTTAAAAGGTTATAATAAGAAATATAAAATTGTGGTGTGTGGAATTTGACTACTTTACTCAAAATTTTGACCAAATAAGGAACAAACAGTTATGCTAGAAAGTGCCTATCCTGGTGTTCCATATTTGTTTGTTTTACAGTATTTCTTAACTTAAAGGAGTGGTGGGAACTGAATCCTACATTACTGATTAAAACATAATCCCTATTTGGATCTATGTTTTATCAGAATCTTATTGAATCAAGCCTATTAGGTAGGTGGTCTGTTGGGTTTCTATCCAGCTCCACATTGTACAGTTTTTGAAATCATGCCTCCTCGTTCACCCAGTTGTATCCTATGCAGGAAGTATTGCAGCACATGGCACTTACGCCAATTTCTCACATTTGGACAAGTCAGTGAGTGTATTGTGCCCAAATCCCCAGATTCTCCATTACCAGCCTCCTTTTTTTAAAAAACAAAGTATCAAAATCTGATAGGCTGAGCTAGCAGCACCAGCTCTTAACTGATGAACTGCTAAATTGAGCCGTTTCTCGAATATGTTCTTAGCAGCCAATTTTTTTTCTTATGTTCTCCATCTGAGGTTCTCAGAGATGTGAAGTCGCTAATTAAAACGCATTCGCTAACAATGTTGCTAACTGCTCATTCATGCAAAAAAAAAAAAAGGCCATTCAAGATAACTATAGTGGGGAGGGGTTAATAAGTTAATCTAAGGTTGAATTACTTAGTAAAGACATCAGTCTCATGACTCCAAAAGAAAACAATTAGACCAAGCCTGAAATACCTGCAAATCTTGCTATTGAAAGAGGCCAAGTTGCCCCGAGGGGCACATGAAATAAGAGGCCTGTTTTGGTGGCAACACAAAACATTTTCAAAAATTTGATCATGGATCTAATCAGAGGTAGGCAAGCTGTGGCCTACAGACTTCACACAGCTTCCAAACCTTTAAAAAAATAGGTCAAATTTAGGCAGCACAATTTTCAGGTTAAATTTTACATTTGCTTCCTATTGTAGGAAGTTAGCACCCACCCCACTCCTAGAAAAATGAAATATCCTGGGAAATATTAAAAAGACAGAATATTTCCCCTAAAAAGAGTAGAAACTCAGAAGCAGAAACTCACCTCAGAGAGGTAGAAACTCAACCCCCTCCCCACCTTTGCTAATGGGCCATTAAGGCCTCGGCCAGAGTATTCTACATAATAAAGGCCTCTACCCATCTCACCACCTGGCCTGGGAAGATTATATCAGCCAACACTCAGGTGAAGCCATGTGGTCTGGACAAAGCCTAAAATGTTAAGACCCCCGCCCCTGGGACTCTGACAGCCAATGGGATAAATTTCTTGCACAGGAACAGGAAACACTAAGGTGGGCCCCAACAGAGTGTATATAAGGGTCTCTCAGCATCTTGGCCTGCCCTCCTTTTCCTTCTTTCTTCATCCAGGGCATGTGATTCTGTCCACTATTAAACCATCTTTCCAAATGGCCTCCATGTTTCCAGTGTCTTTTTCCCCACTTGGAACTGAACCCAGAAGAATAATTCCTCCAACACTATGAGAGTCTCAAATGTGCTTTTTCAAGAGGCAACTGGACTTTCTGTTTTTTCTTTGAAGACATTTCGCTTCTTGGATGAGAAGCGAAATGTCTTTAAAGAAAAACTAGAAAGTCCAGTTTTCTCCTGACAAAGCACCTTTGAGACAACCATGACCTGGATTAATGAGAACCTCCACTGACTTCCTATGAAAGGATTGCCTATAGATGTAGACTTCATATTGATAAATATAATAAAATTGATGCCACATATGGAAGTTAAAAAAGCATGCTATTCAATAATATTACAACATATTACTTATTTTCCATTGTATCTTTTAACTTATTTTTAAGCACTTGCTATGTATTTTTGATGATATATGCATCTGTTGTGCTCTTTTTCCCCGTTATTTTAAAAGCAATATTTTTTAATAAAAAATAGTTCATGCTGCCTGATCATACTTGGGGCTAAACAAACCACAGATCCTACTATAGACCTAATTGAATGCTTTCACGTATATTCTAGTTTTATTGATATGCCTATCATTAAATTCTTGCTTTGAGAAGCTTCTATGAGGAGCTATTCCCAATGAAATCAATGTGCAGTTGAAAAAAAAAAGTTCTTGCAAGAGTGATTGGCGCAAACATGATGCCAACTTAGGAACCCTTCAGATATGTTGACTTCACTTCCCAGAATTTATACGACTATTGATTTATGATGTTGAAGATCATACATATGGAAGTTGCCCAAGTTGCTGAAGGTATATTTCATTTCATTTCAAATGTATGGATCCACTCAAGAACAATTATAAAGAACAGGAAGCTTCCACCTCTCCATCAGGCTTTCAAGACTGAAAAAGATTGTCTTCTTGTTGCATCTGGCATTTTAGTTTGCAAACCTGCTGCATGTTAGCATTTCATAAGAGAGAACTATGTTCTGAATCAGAAAGCCAGGGCTCCCATGGATTCCTGAGCCAGGGACCTCTGCTGGAGGATCAGAAAGTCAAGACAGCTGCACAAAGAGCTGCTCCTTTTTATATCTGTAATATAAGCAGTACCTGTAAAATGAGGGGTGGGGCTTTGATTGGACAGTTGTAGCTAATCATCTGGACTTTAAAAAAAAAATGCGCCATGAAGCAGCTTATCTTGACCACCACACAAATAGCAGAATACAAGCCACTGCAACAAACATGAGTGATGTGATATGCTATTATACCTTATCCAATCAGAACTCTGAACAGCCAACTGACACATTGCCAGGCGATGCCGGCTGGAAACCAAACCCTGTAAAGAAATAGATGTCAGAATTAATGAAAGGAAATTCTGGATTATTAGACTTTTTAAATGTCAAATTAAGGAATAACTGCTTTATTAGTCTTAGGCCTCATATATTGTGATATCTGCTGGGTAAACTTAATGCTCCTCAGTTCCCTAATTCAGAGATGAGCAGCGCCAAACAATCATCAGACACTGCTGGATGGACTACAGACTAGAACTTTCACAAATTGCATTGCTAAATTTCAGCAGCAAACTACCAAAAACAGATATACAATTTTTGCCGATTATGGTAGGAAAAACTAGGAAAAAAATACAGGTTCAATGCAGCATAAAAACTGTCATACTCTTCAAATGAATGCCCCAAAGTCCCAATCTTGCCATATCATCATTTTTGTAGATTTTGCTGCTCCAAATAATTTTTGAAAAACAGTCCCTAAATACTTAAAAGCTTCCCATTTCTCAGGACCCCGGAGAGCAGCTCCGATTAGATCGGAGAGTTGGCTTGATATCAGCATTCCAAATAATGCACCCATAGAAAGCAGAACTCTGAGGCAGGGAAATTCCTCAAAGAACAATTTATTGGATACATGAAATTGGCACAGCTGGTGAAAACTGATTCTGAAGTTCCTGCGGCTTTCACCTAATTAAAAAGTAAATGTTTCTCCTTTCCCACAAGTCACTTGTCATTCTGTTCAATCAAGGTGCTGGCCGGTTGCTTGGTTACTTCACTCCTCCTCTGGCCAGCCACCTGTGAGAATGTCCTTGGTTCCCACAGGAAAACTTTATTGCTTTGGCTATAAAACCCCATCTAGCTATTTCCCTCTCCCTCTGTTGTATGGCAACCCTGAAGCCTCTAAGATGGCCTCAGCCATGTTCACTTCAGGATTGATACACTCTAGCCTTACATACACATATTTCCCCCTTCCTGTCTGTTTCTAGATTGCTAGTGTTACTTATAAACTACTTAATCTAACGGATTACAGATAACAAATAACAGATAATCAGAGTTGGAAGGGACCTTGTAGGTCATCTAGTCCAACCCCCCGCCCAAGCGGGAGACCCTACACCATTTCTGACAAATGGGAGTCCAACCTCTTCTTGAAAGTCTCAAGTGATGGTGCTCCCACAACTTCCGAGGGCAAGCTGTTCCATTGGTTGATTGTTCTCACTGTCAGAAAGTTTCTCCTTATTTCCAGGTTAAATCTCTCCTTATTCAGTTTCTATCCATTATTCCTTGTATGTCCTACAGGCACTTTAGAAAATAGATTGACCCCTTCCTCCCTTTGGTAGCCCCTGAAATATTGGAAAACCACTATCGTGTCTCCCCTGGTCCTTCTCTTTACTAGAGTAGCCAAGCCCAGTTCCTGCAACCGTTTGTTGTATGTTTTAGCCTCCAGTCCCCTAATCATCTAAAATATCATCTAATATCATCTAAATATCATCTGATAATCTAAAATCAACTAACTATAGAGTGGTCAAATGTTCAGAGGAAAAAGTTGGGCACTTGCATTTTTAATAAATGTGTAGGAAAGGAATTTCAGGTGGCAAAGCTTGTCTTTTAAGGCCACAAGAAAAATCTCCATCTGACTAGCCTCTTCTTTACAACAATACAGAATTACAAAATAAAAATGGAAGTGAGAGGGGTTTTTTTTGCTCAGCTATGTCAGATATTTTTAAATGGAGATGGTAACAAAGAAAATCTCCTATCTGTAAAGTGGATCATTCTGTTGTATTATGTACAATGGACACGTTTAATGAAAACAGTAAAGTATGATCTCTTGTTCCTTTCCCCAAAGGCCACTACACCTCGTTGATAGGGATCCTGTGGGAACTAAGTGATAATTTTAGAAAATGAACTATCCCATGATGACATTGGCATAGAGCATTGTGTTTCAGATGATAATTTAAAAATCAGAAGAAATGACAAATTGATGAAGCAAAAAATCATTTAATTAAGTAAAGCTTGCCATGTTCATGCTACAGATTTACTTATACTAGTTGCCTTCTCCAACTAGTGCATTCCTACCTGAAAAAGGTAACATTAAGAGTTTAAGCAACAGATGTCACACTTGTTCATCTTAGGGTGCCTAGTATCCATTCCCCATGTGATTATCCATTCCCCATGTGATTATCTTTTTGAACAAAGAAGAAAAGGAAAAAAAAATAAACCTACCTGTTTTCCATATGAGTCATGTACGGGTGAGACTATTCCACCAATGACAATGAATCTTCCTGTCTTGTGTAGATAATCTCGGGCTCTTTCTAGTGAAAGAGAAACAGGAAGGAAGTGAGGCATAGATTAATACTTGAACACTGATCACTGATGAAAAAGCCAGCAAAATTAGTAGAAATAATTTGCTGTCCAGGACAGGCAGTCCTTCCAAAATTGTTCTCAGTTACCATAAAGGAGCAATTGACCCTGATGTGCATGCAAATTTATACAAGTCAAAGGTAAGGTTCCCCTCACGTATACATGCTAGTCATTTCCGGCTCTAGGGGGTGGTGCTCATCTCCGTTACAAAGCCAAAGAGCCAGAGCTGTCCGAAGACATCTCTATGGTCATGTGGATGGCATGACTAAATGCTGAAGGCACACGGAATGCTGCTACCTTCCCACCAAAGTGGTCCCTATTTTTCTACTTGCATTTTTACATGCTTTCGAACTGCTAGATTGGCAGAAGCGGAGACAAGCAACAGGAGCTCATTCCGTTACGCGGTGCTAGGAGTCATTACCATAATTCATTTGGTCATAAATCATATATTTACATCCTCATTTTAACAATTCCAGTTATTGGTTATTGACAACCTTCCTCAACATCCACATTGGTTCCTCAGAGTGAAGGATCACTTAGTTAAATGGAATTTCTTTCCTCTGAAAGTCTATACGAGGACATAAGGAGTTTTAAGACCTTGGGTACAAACCTGACAGTGTCTCCAAAAGTTGTTGCCAAATTAGAATATTTAAGATAAAGAAATTATTAAATACATGTGTTCCTGCAGTGTGCTCATGAAAAACAGCTTTCTGGAGTGCAAATGGACAATCTTATATGATTTTTTCTTTTTTCTCGAAAGTCTTTGGTGGCCAGAATTTTGTGTCTGGCCACCAATCTCCACCAAAATGTTGTCTCTGCTCCTTCAGGAACATCAAGTTCAGCATTAAATTTTTGTGATCTACTTGTGAGTTGGATGCTGGGAAGGATTTCAATCAAGGTCCCAACTTTAATTCAGCCTATATGGGCATAAGGCTAGCACATTACAAGCATAATTTTTAACCACTGTCAGATGTAGCTAATTTACAGTTAAAGATGTTCTGAGCAACAGGATAAAAATTCCACTTGTTGAGTTATTATTCTTTCTGGATTACAAAGATTTTAAAACCTTTTGACAAAAATCTTAAAAAGGAATCAATCCAGGAAAGTTTAAAATGGATAAAAATAGCTATTTTTAAAGATTATTTTTTATGAAAGTGCTTTTAAATAAATTGGAATTAAAATAAATAAATTGGACTTTTATGGACATATTTTTATTTACTATTAAAGAGGCAATTAGTGTACTCTACAAAACAAAAGATAAAAATAATATAAACCAGATTCTAATCTGACTGTAACTATGGAGATGTTGACTATGGTGCTGTCTGTAACTATGGAGCACAGTGAGATCAAAATGTTAAGGGAACGGGAAAACAAAATAGAAAAAATAGGGATGGAGAAACTTGCCTTTTTTTTCTTTATTTGAGACACTTTTGCTTTTGGATTATAATATAATGACAATGACCTGAAGGGCAGCAAAAATGGAGGAAAGGAGAGAATCATTAGACTATCTGCAGAGAGGTAGTAGCAAAGATTTCAGTTGCTGTATGTTTTGTCCAGAAGGAACTTTTAGAAAAATTTAAAGAACATTAGAGGAGATTTAAATAAGGGTATCAGATAAGTGGTGGGATTCAAAAAATTTTACTACCGGTTCTATGGGCATGGCATGGCTTGGTGAGCGTGGCAGGGCAAGGATACTGTAAAATCTCCATTCCCACCCCACTCCAGGGGAAGGATATTGTAAAATCACCATTCCCTCCCCACTCCTGAGGGAAGGTTACTGCAAAATCCCCACTCCCTCCCTGCCTCACTAACCTGATTTCCAGCTCCATTCTCTTGTGCAGGGCAACAAAAGAAGATCCAGCTGATCAGGACTTGGGAGGCAGAGAATAGATGGGGGCGAGGCCAGTCAGAGGTGGTATTTGCCGGTTCTCCAAACTACTCAAAATTTCTACTACCGCTTCTCCAGAACTGGTCAGAACCTGCTGAATACCACCTCTGTATCAGATGAGACTACACAAAACTTCAACAGATGCAACAGGAAACCGAAAGGGATAATATTGAAGTAGGCAGTTAAAGGTATCAATTTTTGTAAAGTTTTGGCTTTATTATAAATTACAAATATAAATGAAGGAAATGCTCTTCAAAATAGAAAAAAAAGCCATAATTTTAAAAAAGTAAACCAAAATTTAATTTTAATTTAATAGGAAACACATTGTAGAAAACTGGACATAAAATATTTGATTTATAAAAATTTAGGTGAATTTATTTCAGTAGAATCAAAAATAGAATTTGAGTGGTTTTGTATATAAATCCCCAACTAAAACCAGAATTTGTATTAACTGATGAGCATGGCAGATTTATTGGGGTGGAAGTTAATTTGCATGGGATTAGGATTTCAGTATAGGAATTTATGTCCAAAAATGAAGACAAACTATTCTTTTATAAAGGACTTATGAAGAGATTAATAAGGTTTTCTAGTGGAAATGTATGCTTCATAAAGGATTGGAATGGAGTGAACTCTCCACAACTGAATAAAACTTTTTGGGAAAAAATATCACAATTAATCAAGGCCAATTACCAGGTTTTCTTTGATTTGATTGACAATTTAGGACTGGTTGATATACAAAGATAGAAAAATGGCAGTTCAAGAAACTATTCTTACTTTTCTGAAAGGCAAGAACAGACTTAAAACTGTATTTCAATGAATGTGGTTACTAAGCTTTCTAAAGTAGAAATATTACCTTTTCCCCCGGAATCATACTCCTGTGAGTTTGGTTTACAAATAGAAATCTAGTTCTTTTAGATGGAGACTAAATGAAATGTTATTACAGAAAGAAGCAATAGTGGAGAATTGTAAAAAGAAATTAAAATAACTTTTTGAAAATAATTTCAGAAAAGGCACTGATTTAAGAATGATTTGGGATGCAAGTGAAGTTTTTGTTAAAGATTATTTTATATATAAGTCTTAAAAAGAGAGGAAATTAAAAAAAACTATTTTGAATGAAATAAAGAAAAAAGAAGAAAAATTAAAGTAATTTCCAGAGAAGATATGTATTTCTCAACAAATTAAGCATTTATCAGATAGTAAAAGAAATGTAAATACAAGTGAATTATGTAAAGCAAAAAGTGTATTTGCAAATAAGGCAGGGAAGTGGCTAGCATATAAATTAGGAAAAGAAAAAATAAAGAAAGAACATGATATTGAAATTACAAGAGGAAGATACTCTATTAATGGATCATGATGTCATACAGAAGTGACATCTCTCTGGTTGTTCAAAACAAAAGGTACTAAAGATTGCAGAGGAACAGAGACAGATTATGAATGGACCTACTACAATAAGGAAAATTTTGGAAGCCATATAAAAGATTACACTAGGAAAGTGCCTGGACCAGGCTCTTATTATAAATGTCTGGAAGATGATGAATTTTCAACATTTACAAAATAAACACAATAAACTCTGTCCTACAGGGAAGATGATAAAGAATTGGAAAGAGGCCAAAACTACATTAATACTTCAAGAGGGATAAGATTTGACTTTAACAAGAAATTGTAGGGCAATATCATTACTGAATAATGACTATAAGTTGTTCATAATGTTTCCAGCTAATAGACTGAAAATAATATTTCAAGAATATTTCAATAATATTTCAATTATTCATGAGGATCAATGTGGGTTTTTACCTAAAAGACAGTTAAAGGACAGTGTTAGCAATGTGTTAAGACACTTTATAACATTTGGAGCAGCATAATAATAAATAAAAAAAACAAGCTGCATCGATCTTGCAGTGCAAATAAAGCCTTTGGCAATCTGATTTGGGCTTTCTTGTTCAATGTTTTGGAAAATATGATTTTTGGAGAGAATTTTATAAAATGGGCAAAGTAGATCAGAGGTGGTATTCAGCAGGTTCTGATCAGTTCTGGAGAACCGGTAGTGGAAATTTTGAGTAGTTTGGAGAACCGGCAAATGCCACCTCTGACTGGAGATTTTACAGTATCCTTCCCCTACCACACCCACCAAGCCATGCTCACCGATAGTAAAAAAATTTGAATCCCACTACTGAAGTAGATTTACATTTCACAGAAAGCGCAAATAATTGTTAATGGAGATCTAACAAAGCACCGTGAAACAGAAAATAAAAATCAATAGAGGGAGCTCACACTCTTCCCTCACATATTTTGATTCTTGAAATTCCGAATAGAGGATGAAAAGATTATGTTTTTTTAAAAAAATCTATAAATTAAGGGCTTTGGCAGTGGACTTGCTGTTGATTTTGGAAGATCCTTTAGAGGGAATTGAAATATTAATGGACAAATTAAAAGAATGTGGTGCATTAGAAGTTTCAAGATCAATACACAGAAGGCAAGGATGTTAAAAAAAATATGAAAATAGAAGATCAGACAGAATTGACGGATAACATGGGTTTTAAGATTGACAAATATGAACTACATGTTATTTCAAAATAACTGTTAAGATATAGAATGAAGTTTTAAAAAGACATGTTAAGATGGGATAAACCAGAGGTCTCTAACTTTGGCAACTTTAAGTTTTGTGGACTTCAACTCCCAGAATTCCTCAGCCAGCAAAGCTGGGACTTGAAGTCCACAAGTCTTAAAGTTGCCAAGGTTGGAGACCCCTGGGATAAAATATAACTTCATTGCTGGGGAGAATTTCTGTGATAAAAATGAATGTATTGCCTATAGTGATATTCAGTTTCAGAACACACATGTTTTGAAAGCGGAGTTAGAGGGGCACGATCTGAGATTTGGGTAGCAGAGATATTTATGTCCAACTAAATTACAGTTAATGTGGATTTTAAAAATTATTAGATGCACCATGTTGAGAATAGGTATAAACCCAAAGGTGTGTGGGGCTCAAGACCCCTTTGTGGCTCTCAGTAGAAGAAAGATTTTATAGACAGTAAATAATAGGCAAACCTAACTTACTGTAAGAGATTAAACATTTTTTTCAAGGGAAGTATAAAAT